AATCTTTCAAATAATTACTAATCAGTGTGTTACTGTTCCCACGTTACATTCGATGAAGAATTTCCTGTAATATAGAAATTGTGATTTGCAATCTGCAGTTTTTTGTGTTTGTTGTTATAGATATTTGTACATGTTACATAACTGAATCTTCGGTCAGTGGAAGCAATGTTGGAGACTGAGGACAGAATTCCTGTCAAGTCAAGGGATTTTCTAGTGCCATGTTCATGTTTTCCTGTTTGTTCCTGTTTCCAGTGTTGAGGACTAATATGAATGTTATATTTTGGACTTATTCTGCTCTTGTATTCATGTTTTCTGGATGCTACTCATGTACCTTGTTTTTGTGGATTATCTCTGGTTTTTAAACTTTGATTCCTGATACTATTTTGCTGAATTGCTTTTTATATATTCTTCAATAAACTGCTTGCTATTTTACCTTGGACTGGTGCGTGTGTTAAGTGCAGTGGTGCTTCCTGGCCTTGGAGTACAACACTTCTGATATGAGTGTAGTCATACTGACCTTATCCCATTGTTAGCTTCAACTAGATTGGAGTCATTGCATCAATTAAAATTACTTCTATATTGACTCACCATTCAAAAAACTGATTCTAAGGTTCTACTTTAGTTGAGATTACCTAACAATGTTTTGGTTAATATGGCTAATGTTAGGACCAAAATGAGATATTTCTTTAATTTGAAGAAATCTGAGAATTTTTCTTTAAACTATAAAAAAACAAAGAAATGCATACATGGAAGACATTTGTGGCTAAAAATATGAGAAACTGATATGGACCATTCTTCACTCTACTCTGCTTCCAGTTATGTGCAGTTTTTCTAGGTGTGTGACTCAGATCCAGGAGGTGAAAATATTTGAACTATAGGAACTTTCAATTCAGTTCCTACTACTCCTTTCTCTTTGTATAGACTTCAGATTCACTGACGGTCCACCATATAAAGTCAAGAATACAGATTAGGAAAAAGGCCAAGAGGAAACTGAAAAATAAATAAGATTGTAATTCAGTGTCTTTCAGAATTTGTTTTTCAAATGAGAAAAACATTATGTAAAATCTTATCCTTAACAACCATAAAATTCATCAGCTAACTCCAACTATTCTCTTTTAATTGTTTGCCCTTGAGTTTTATTTAGCACAGAAGAAGGCTATGTGAAAAGGCTGTTTGTATAGTTCAATCTTCTACTAAAGCTCTACTCAGGTAGAAATTTTAGATGAATGGAGAAAAAACAAAATAAGCACCCCACTATTTTATACTGGTGTAGTATCCATTTTGTATGATTGAATTGCTTTTATGTTGTATTCGTTAATCTTAAAAGTGTTTAAATAAGCAGAGTGGTCGAATATTACTAGAAAGCCTCATGTCTGTTTTATGATTAATGGTGATCAGAGGCCTGGCTTTGAATCAATAGCTTTTTTTGCACCATTCATGATAGCTGTGTAATGAGGGCAACCTCAGGTCTGTGAACCTAAGGAGAGCAGGAGCTCCCCTATTTTCTTTTTTTTCTGATCTTGTTTGAAAAAAAATGTTTAAAGAATCAAAAGAGCTTGCCTTCCTTTTTCTAGCACTGAGGTGATAGCAACTGAGACTTTCAAAAGCCTAACTGAACCACTGGGGAAAAGAAGACCATTGCTGGAACGATTGCCTAACTGAAGTTTAAATAAAGCATGGATTAATTTGGTCTCATTTTCAGTCAGGAATCTTCTTTTGCAGACAAACTTATTACAGAAATAATAAAGGAATAAAAATAGATATGCTTTATATCTCAGAAATGTGTGGCAGTAATGTGCCACACATTTATTCTCAATTTAACATTACATGGAAAGCTTTGGAAAACATCAAATTCTTTTGAAAACCGCTGGTAGAGGATATTGCTCTAACCGATTCATTAAAAGCCAACATAGCCTAGGAGCAATGGAAAATATCAGCCAATAAATATAGAATAGAGATCAGCATAAACATTGTGCGTGCCACACTATGTAACAATAACACTATGTAACACATTTTTTATTCCTGATTCTATAATAAAAACATGGAAAAGGTTTATTGAACTGCAAAAACTTTGCACATTTTGCTATAGTTTTCAATGAATATCTCAAGTCTCAACCGTTTCAGTATAATTTGTGATGGCTACAAAAAATGAAATTTCTGGACTATAACAACTCCTTTCAAAGTACGCATCACACTTTCAAACCAGGAACAGATTTTTTTTCCACATTTGGTTATATAGTGTAATCAGGATGCCGCCAGGGAAAAAAGCCTGTTCTGCATTTCCACCAACGTGACTTCCCTTTGTTCTGGGTTATGTAACATGATCAAAAATTACAAGCAGGTTCATATTGGACGAGGAAGTATTTAGATATTCTGGCATCAAACTACTCAGGGTTTGATGCCCAAATATTTATTCATAACAGTGGTTCCCAACTATTTTGACCAGGAACCACTTTGACCAGGGACCACTTTGACCAGGGGCCACTTTGACCAGAGACCACTCTCCATCATAAGTACCAAAAGGGTTAGGAGTCAGTTTTTGGTCAACTTTAGATTCAGTTTGGGGTGCTGATTCAGCAAATTGCATTGGATAGACCGCATCAGCTCTGGTTTCTGATACAGAACATATGCCATGGTCAGTGACAGGGAAGGAGTGGCAGGCGGCGTGAAAGGAGAGGAAATAAAATAAAGAGGAAGGAGGCTTGTGGACCAGATTTTCATTCCTGCAGCCCACTAGTGGTCTGTGACCCACAGGTTAAGAACCACTGACTTATAAGAACAAATCAAGCCTTCTGGGGCAAAAATAATGGCTAAAATTGCCAAATGCTTATCAAAGACAGGTTATGTGTAGAGCGCATTCATCCAAACTAAATTGGGGGGTCTCAGGCCAGGGATCGCTGTAGCCATGTCCACTTTGCAAGAAAGTGGTGGCACTCAAAGTGTTCAAAACAGGCCACTCCTGGATACAACAGCCAGCTGCCTGACTATCCAGGAGCACTGTTCAGTCCAGAAACAAAGCCAAAGGTCTGAATCTGTTCCTTCAGAGGAAGTGCAACCTGATTCAGAACAGCTGTGCTCACCAATTCCATATTAGCCTGTCTACCTTTCTGAATCCACTTCTCATGTTTTCCCAACAGGATCGTTAACTCAGTCCCACGAACATAGCACAGGAACTGCAAGAAACTCCCTGTTCTCCCAATGTATGAACTAAGGCTGGATCTAACCTGCCCTATATCCCAGGATCTGATGTCAAATTATCTTCTTATTTCAGATTATATGATAGTGTAGACTCAGGCCACTTCCACAAAGCTGAATAAAATCCCACATTATCTACTTTGAACTGGAATATATGGCAGCGTGAAATCAGATAACCCAGCTCAAAGCAGATAGTGTGGGATTTTTGCCTTGATATTCTGGGTTATATGGTTGTGTGGAAGGGCCCTCATATAATCCAGTTGAAAGCAGATAATCTGGGATCGGATCCTGGGATAAAGGGCAGTGTAGCTCTAGCCTAGCAAAGAGCAAGGAGATAGGTATAGAGTATCTTCACCTGCTATTCTCCTGACATTGCGGTATCATTTATTCTGTGCTGCTTTTCCAGAACTACCAAAATATACACAATGAGCCACAGGAATTTGGCACATAAACAAAAGAAACTAACTCTGAATGGCAAGTGCATTGTGCCACACCTGTAATCTAGCACTTGGAATATCTTAAATGGATTATGTTGTGAAATTCCTGCCACTGTGTGGAGAGTCTGTTACTCGAGAATGGGGGCAATCATCCACATGAAGCTCCTTCAGATGTTATCAACCATGAAATGTTTATATCAGTCCTTTGGCACATCAATAAAGCACAGACATTGTACTTGAAATAAGAGGGTAAATGTGTGTCCAGAGTCTACAATTTTGCTTTGTTTCTTCAGAATTCCTATAGATATGTAACAGAGGACTATGAGTCAATGTATATTGTATGGAGATGTTAATAGCCCAATTAAATAGCAAGTACCAAATTAGAACTGTGAAGTTTTGGGTTCTGCCTTTTCCTCTCCTTTGCTTTAGTTCCCCCTGTTCATAGGTTTTCCAAATAGTTTAGGTACCTTCCTTTGCATTAGTTATGGGTGGAGCTTAACATCTCTCCAGACGCCAGCCTTAATTGGTCTATTCTATTTCCCTGTATAGAGCTCTCTGGCTGGACTCCTCCTCTTTCTGCAGCAGAGTTACTGTGACTTGGGATTGTCTGGTAACCCTAGGCTTAGCAATAAAAAAACAGGCATTCTTAGCACCTGCATTCAGAAGTACTTTTATACCACCAGTCCAAAGGACAACAGAAGCTTATGATCAGCTTATGTTTTGCAAGAAAAAAGATTGAGAAAGTTTATAACCATCACATTGCACCAAGGCAGGAAACTTTCAAAGACTCCAGAGAGATGTCTGCAACCAGCAAAATCTTTTTTTGTAATGTATTGTTTTAAGTTACCTTATGATAGTCCTGGGTGGAGTTAATCCTTTATTCATGTTAACAGTAAACCTGTTCGCTTATCTTTACACCTTGCCTAAAATGCCTCTGTGTGTTAAAGGGTCTTAATCTTAACAGAAGGTATTCTGCTAGCCCCCAAGTAAAGCCAGACACTATAGTTTCCTCATAGGCTCAGGCATGCCATCACAAGAACAGTGTATGTAGAATTCTGAAAATCTTCTCTTGGGTATGAAGCTTTGTAGAAGCTACTAAATCAGTGGCCTACTTTAGAGTTGCTAAACCAATTTTTATGTAAGTTCCATTGATTTAACTGGTTTAACTGGTTTACTCTAAGTGGAACGAACAAATGGATTGATGCCATATGCATTGAAGATTGAAAAGTACTGCAAAATACAGTAAAAGTAGCTGTTTTTCAAAAGCTGGCATTATGTATCGTATCTTTTTGAGTTGTGAAATGAGGTGACTTTCTTTTGTAATCTTATAAAATAGCTAATTTGGTATGATATAGGAAGGATACATACCTGGGATTCTGGTTCTACATTGACCCGATATGCTTGTGCCTTTCCATCTTCTAAAATATTAGGGGACCAAACTTTGTTTTCAGACCTGCAATGAGAAATCCAAGGCTGTAAATATAAATAATACAACAACATAACTTGTTTCTTGCCTTCAGCTAATTTTGAATCTGACACATAAAAACAAATTTAAGATGGTTTAAAAAGTGTGTGTGTGTGTGTAAGGGTACCAGTGAAATACTATTTATTTCAGAACACATTCATACTGTATAATAATATGATTGAGATATGTCTTTATTTTTATTTTCTAAATTGCTTCTTAAAACATTTCTCTAATAGTTTTAGGGACAGAATGGCAGAAAACTAGGAACCAGCACACAAGATAATTACAGCCTTCAGCCTTTCCTTTCTGGAGAGAGAAGGGGGATCTGTTTGCCTTTACAAAGCAGGCTTTTGTGTCAGGCTACATAATTACATAATACTAATTGTGCTCATATTTCTTTAACAATTGTCATCTCAAGCATAACACTGCCATCTTGATACGCTAATACAGGTATGGACACCCTGGCATTTCCTTAGTTATTTAAAGTCTTACAGAGTGTCCTATGGCTGGTAATCTTTTAACCGCAATTCAGACATTGCAAAAAATAATAATGATAGGCTTTCCCTCCTTTGCTTTTCCATCACTGCATGCAAGAATAGCTGGTGTTCACTGTTGGGACTGAGGCCAGGGTCATGATAGATGCAGCCACACACTTGCTGCAAGCAGAGCCAAAAGGTCACCACAGACAGAGTTAGCTAGTCTAGTTTTCTACACATCTTTCTCAGTTTCAAAAGCCTTCTACACTGTGACCAAAATAACTGTAGTGGGTTTGGGGTTTTGTTTTTGCAAAAAACAAAAACAAAAAAACCCAGTCCACAGCAGCAACCCACTGCAAAATGAGATATTGGAAAATTAAATGTCTGCAAAGCAGTTTGTGTGTTCAGTAAAGGATCTGCAGAGTGACACAAATCACACTTTTGGAACCACATTTTTCTGTTCTGTGAAAGAGATATAAGTTGGCCACATTCCACCCTTGGAAGTATTACTAACAAATGCTTTTACTTCTGTTCCTCTAGAGGCAGTTCTCACTAGTGATTTATCTCTCTGGATAAGCAGAGACCAAGGAGCTAGTCCACAAGCGTCCAAGAATTTTGCAAAGCATGTGGAGGCTGCACCAATTAATTAAAAGGGTATAAGATTTGTTTTTTTTATTACCATTATTGTATTTTATGAAAAGAAGGTGAGGATTCAAATATATGAGAGGTATTGGTGGATTTTATACTTTTTTCTAGTTTAATAATCACCAGGGAGAATGGAAGCTATTTTTATCTTTCTTTTTCTCCTTTTCTTTCCCCTATTTCTATTTATAATTCTTCTTTCTTTTCTTTTTTCTTTCTATGTACTGTTATTGTGCTATCTATATATATAAATTTGTTAGGGGCATCCAACGAGGAAACAAAACTCAAAAACCCCTCCAACGAAACTTAACCAAAATTCCCATGCCCATAACACAACCCACAAGGTACAAACATATCTACTCAAAATGAAAAACAACACAACAACACACTCACAAAACGGCAAAACAACAAAACTCAAAAATCCCCCAACAAAACTTAACCAAAATTCCCATGCCCATAACACAACCCACAAGGTACAAACATATCTACTCAAAATGAAAAACAACACAACAACACACTCACAAAACGGCAAAAGATAAAACTCAAAAAAACCCAACGAAACTTAACCAAAATTCCCATGCTCATAACACAACCCACAAGGTACAAACATATTACTCAAAATGAAAAACAACACAACAACACACTCAAAACGGCAAAAAAACAAAACTCAAAAAACCCCCAACGAAACTTAACCAAAATTCCCATGCCCATAACACAACCCACAAGGTACAAACATATCTACTCAAAATGAAAAACAACACAACAACACACTCACAAAACGGCAAAACAACAAAACTCAAAAACCCCCAACGAAACTTAACCAAAATTCCCATGCCCATAACACAACCCACAAGGTACAAACATATCTACTTAAAATGAAAAACAACACAACAACACACTCACAAAACGGCAAAACAACAAAACTCAAAAATCCCCCAACGAAACTTAACCAAAATTCCCATGCCCATAACACAACCCACAAGGTACAAACATATTACTCAAAATGAAAAACAACACAACAACACACTCAAACGGCAAAACAACAACTCACAAACCCCCCAACGAAACTTAACCAAAATTCCCATGCCATAACACAACCCACAAGGTACAAACATATTACTCAAAATGAAAAACAACACAACAACACACTCAAAACGGCAAAAAAACAAAACTCAAAAAAACCCCAACGAAACTTAACCAAAATTCCCATGCCCATAACACAACCCACAAGGTACAAACGTATCTACTCAAAATGAAAAACAACACAACAACACACTCACAAAACGGCAAAACAACTGAGCATGCGCATTGGCGCCCAGCCGCAAGTTCCCTGGCGCGCGCACATGCCCTTCCGGCCAACGTTCCCTCTGCGGAAACCATGCCCACTCCAAGCCCCGCCGCGCCGCTTCCCGCACACACACAAACCCCTGCCGCACATACACACACAACCCCACACTCCATCACTCCCCCCGCCGCCGCACACACACACGCAACCCCACTCCCCCCGCCGCCGCACACACACACGCAACCCCACACTCCATCACTTCCCCCGCTGCCGCACGCACACACGCAACCCCACTCCCCCCACCCCCCGCCGCCGCACACACACACGCAACCCCACGCTCCATCACTCCCCCCGCCGCCGCACGCACACACGCAACCCCCCACTCCCCCCCGCCGCACACACACACACAACCCGACGCTCCATCACTCCCCCCCGCCCCGCACACACACACGCAACCCCACGCTCCATCACTCCCCCCGCTGCCGCACACACACGCACAACCCCACGCTCCATCACTCCCCCCCCCAATCTTACCTCCTTTTACTTCACGCCACCTCCAAACCCCTCCCCCCCCCCTCCCACCCTGTCAAAATCAGAAAAGGAAGGAAAGGAAAGAAAGGAAGAAGAGAAAGGAGGAAAGAAAAAGGGGAAGAAGGAAAAGAGAAAGGAAGAAGAAAGGAAAGAAAAGGAAAGAATGGAAGGAAAGAAAGAGAGAGCAGAAAAGAAAGAAAAAGGGGGAAGGAAGAAAGAGATAGAGAAAAGAGGAGAAGGAAAGATGGGAGGGAAAGGAAGGAAGAAGGAAGAAGGAGAAAAGGAGAGAAAGAGGGAAGATTGGCCACAGCAACACGTGGCGGGTAAAGGTTGTTATTTTTATTATTATTATTATTATTATTATTATTATTATTATTATTATTATGCTATTGTTCCTATGAGACCCTGGAGGAATGGGAGAGGTGTCAGGTCCCAGAGGCAATGCATTGCATTATTGTTATTGTTATGATGGTGGTAAAATAAAAGGAAATAAAAAGTGAAAGAAGGAAGCAAACAGGGAGGGAAGAAAGGCAAAGGAAGAAAGGGGGAGGGAATGAAGGAAAGAGAGAAGGATGAAACCAAGTAGTGAAAGAAAGAAAGAGGTAGAGAAGGAAGAAAGGAGAGAAAGGGGGAGGAAAAGGGGAAAGGAATAGGTAGGGACCTCTCTTTCATAATAGTCCAGATATCTACCTCAACTTTGATAAGTTTTACTATAGGCCACAGCAACGCGTGGCAGGGCACAGCTAGTTTTATATACTTAGAATTAAAAACCAGTTAATTGCCAATACGCAGACAAGGAAAATCATTTTATCCTAAAGGTTGTTATAATACAAACTAATAAATCCTTCCACAACTGCATGAAAATGCTCCTCTTTTTAGTCATTCACAATCCTGGTTTTTCTGTGCTTGGAAGCAGTTCTACTTCGAGCAAGGAAAAGTTCAAACAAAGGCTTTTAGACTTTGGTTTTAGAGCCAGAACTGAGGTATTGTTGGAATTTAGATGACTTGCTTTCTCCCTATTAACCTTTTTGCTTGGAGACATTCAAAAACAAACTGATTCAGAGGGGACAAAGAAAGCTACAATAGAGAAAGAGTGCAGTGCTTCCGAGAGGGATTACTGTACAGCTGTCTGAAATAGGCAGCAGTGAGCCAAATCCTGATCTCAGTTTGATTGTTCAGCTCTGGGTAAATTATTCCCAATTCACAACAGCATGGAAAACACACACACAAAGAAGCACTCTCTGGAGAACAACCATGACAATTCTTCCAACTAGACTCATCTGAATCACTAGAGAAATGCATGACTTAAGCTGAATTCTATTCTACAGTGCAGACCAACTCTTCCAGGTCCATTGGCTGTTAATGAAAACAGGCAAAATGAAATGAATGAAAACAGACAGAAAAAGCTTCTGCCCATTTCAGTAGTCTGTACTGAAAGTGGTGATGATGAAAGTACTGTACTAAAAGTGGTGTGATACATCCACTTCATCACACTATTTTATATACTTGGAATTTATATACTAGAGAAAAAATCCACTCAAAATCTGGTTTCTGCCTCCTGCAGAATTCTGGAGTTTGTAGTTTAGAGAGGGGCCTTTAACAGCCTCACTAAACTACAAACCCCATGTGGTGAAGTGTGAATTTTAATCTACAGTTATGTATAATTATAGATAGGTGTTTAAAAGGGTAAGTATATAGAATAGCATAACTGGGGGAATGGTAGCCAGCTTAGCTCACTCTGAGCTGGGTTGCCATGGAAAAAGGGGCGGAGCCAACTGCCACTTGGCAGGGCAGCCATTTTAAAACAGTTAGTCTGTAGTCAGCGAACTGCAGGGAAGGCTGGTTCTGCTGTGTTGAGAATCAGGAGGGTTTAGTCTTTTAGCCTGTGAAGTTTAGATAGGTCAAGTTGACTTATTTAGGTTAGTGGTTAGTATATGAGTAAAAAGGGTGAGAGAACCCTAATAAGAATCTTTACTGAAACAGAAATAACATAAGGAAAGAATAAGCTTGTACCTGAAGTAATCTGTTAAAGAAAGAAACATATTTTAAAGGAA